GGGGTTATTTATTAAGAGGGGAAATACAGGACTCATACACCACCATGCATCTTTAGAGGCAGGCTTCTGTCCCCATGGATACTGAGGGATGCTTCATTCACACGGCTGCTGTGTCATGTTTTGTGTTAAGATGCTGAGTCCACTTGAAACACACCGTCAGTCGTATCACTGCACTGTAGGACTACTTTTTTAGCTGCTTTACTGTACACAGGGCAACGCAGGAACCGAGTCTGGCCTCCAGATGACCTCATCACAGCCTGCGCTGAAGACAGAATGGTGAAACAGGAAGCAGCGAGACACCCGTCTGTCTGCAATAGCGCTCTGAGCTCCGGTGTCGACCGTCAGTGATGTCCCGGATACTACTTTTGAAGTGTTCAGCTGAATGTACCACAAACGCATGAAAAATGAACATACCAAAGCTTCTGTGCTGCTTATACTCTAACTACTAGTGGAGAACAGTTTTTGTAGTATTTCTGCTTGCTGCTGTTTCCCACTGTAAGCCCATGTGTCCGTGTCTCGCCACAACAAATTCCACATTTACCTCTAAACTGTCATTTTACTGGATTCCAGCAAATTGCTGTATTTAGCCATCACGACACCTCTGCCAGGGTATCGCTGATTGTTTTGAAATAGGAATCCCGTATGCGTTGTGTTTTTTTCCTATTGTGACGCACAATCACTGATGCACACTAACAAAGGAATAACCTCGTGCATGAACGGGACCATCAGTGTGACAGGTCAGTAGTATGGATACCCTGGAATGAGATTTGAATGGATGTGGTGGAGACAGAGGTGTATTTACCCAATAGAGAATGATCCTTGTTGACCGACTCTCCGTCCCCGGTAGGGAGGTCGGGTCTGGTGTAATCTCGACTCTTGTCGTTGTTGTATTTGACGTTGAGGTTGACCAGTTTACTGAAGTCTATCCGCAGAGTACAGCATGAATTATAGATGTTCTGTCCATCCAGAGACTGGAGTAGAGGTAGTGGAAGAGGGAGAAAGAATCACAATAGTGTTTCAATAATTGGATAATGATAGGATTGTGACAAAGATTCACACTAAGAAGGACATCTTACAGTTATGAATCAGCCAGGCTGATGTATTGGTGCAGCTCTACTGCAGCGCATGTTAAAGGGCTGAAAGGTTCGACGTGAACTGCCTGGTTTGAATGTTAGGCACTAACAGGCAGAATGAAGACTTCTGTTAAATCACTGAGATTCAACCTGAAATGTGATTCATTTTACATACGAGTGAACCACCAACACTGGACATGTACTGAGAGTGGCCATGAGTCCATCAAAACCTGTTACTGCATCACAAAAAGATTCAAATCTAAATATGTTGTTTAGCCATTTAACGAGGGATTTGAATATAAAAAAGGAAATAAGGTTGCTGATGTGACGGCCAGACGTGACACATGAGTGTGATCCTACCAGTTTAGCCTGCTGCGCATTGACGGGGTCGCTGAACTGCAGAAGAGCCTGGAACTGGTTGTTCTTGGTGAAGGTTATAATCTTCATTACGGTCCCGAACTTACTGAAGATCTGAAAGAATCAACAAATAGAGAATAACTAGTAAACATGACCATGCTTGATTTAAATCACAAACCTAATTTCCAACATTCACATTTAAAGCTATGCCGACACTAGGGTTGTACCAAAAAGGTCAAATCAGGCTACACTACTATCATTAGTATTATACTATTGATAGAATTAGATTCTAGTGGTGGCTGCGTAGGATTGTTTCTGACTGGATCCAAACACTTCAAATAACTTCAGAGCGTTTTGAAGTCAAAAAGTCAAAATCTAACAAAAGAACATGGATGTAATAATTTACACTATGCACAAGATAAATTATCTAATGAAATATTCTGCTTCAATCCATATTTGTTGGCGTTTAGCCGTCAATAACGGTCGAGCAGCAGTCTAACAGCACCATAGCTTACATTTTTATAACCACCATAAGTATGTGATGATATCGGAAACTATGATGACAGACATTCAATGGTCATTCAGAAACCTCAATAGAACATTATGAATAACTAAAAATAAAAAAAGCCCGAGCAGACACACAGTCATTATCACAAGTCAACCAGTATGCGCTTTAAAAGGCCTAATGTGAAAGTAGATATCTTATCTCTTTTTTTGCTTTAACGATGCCATTTGCTTTTTTTCATACCAAGAATATCCAAACATTAGGGGAAATAAGACCTTGACCATTGGACTGTGTATCATCCTGAATGGTGTTTGGGTTTTACCTGTTGTAGAACGTCCAGTGTAACAGGATAAAACATGTTGTCGATGATAATTCGCAGGACAGGGCTGGGGGGTGGAACTAGGTCCAACACTCCAGGGTCAGATGACGGAGAGCCTCCATCCTGAACCGCTGACACTGCCTGCAACACTGCCTGGGCCCTCTGGGTGGAAAGGAAAAGATGCATCACGAATGGGAAGGCATCAAGTCCCACGTCAGTGTAACCCTGGTGTGGGTGAAGGACAGTGCTTGGTGGATTAGTATACCTGGTTCAGAGCCGAGTCTGTTTTCAGCTCCTTATGGTTGGAGTACTGGATGAAGACGGGAGTGTTTCTGACCTGAATAGAATACGATCGGAGGAATACACAGTTCGGTTAGTAGCACTCAGAACATGAACAGAAATGATTAATAACGTGCAACAGGAATGGACACTGATGTATTTCAGACCTGTGGCGTGACAGCTGCGTAGTAGTTCACCATAGTAATTGCTGCTTCTTCTGTGCCCAACTCCAGGAACGCCTGCAAAAACACAGCAACAGTGAGCTCTCATAGATGACAAATCACCTCCAGGACAATGTGTCATTGTGTGCAAAAGACTGTTCCTGTTCCGTCTTCACATCAGCGTATTGGCTGGTGGAGTCTTGCTGTAGTTTACCTGGTTTTTCCCCTTCAGCATCAGTATATTGGTGACCTTTCCGAAGGGCAGCCCCAAGGCAATGACTTCAGTCTCTGACACTTCATTGGGAAGTTTCCTGATGTGGAGAACTCTAGAGGGGGGGGATTCGTCCAGTCGCTGTTTCTTACTGTCACTGCCGTTCGCTGAACATGAACACAAATAACACAAATGATCATATGGTACCATGACTCTAGAATGAAGCTGAAGTCAGAGTACAGCACAAGCATAAATACTAAAATGAATGATGACTAAGCTCCAATTAGCTGCTTCACTTCCAGAACCCTGGTATTGTGCATGCTGGCTCACTGTCACACCATCATGAATAATCTTAATACTTTTGACTATTTGATAATTTATTAGATTTTTAATGTGATCTAGAATTTCAAAGTTGTACTGTTAGATACTTGCCCCAAAATATGATCGGACCAGATTTCAAGACTTTAGACCAATCAGAACAAATGTGACATTTTTCCTTATCATATTAAATATTATTATTTACCCATACACAAATGGGTAAATACAGAAAATAATTGATTGAAGCCCTCTAAATGTAATTTGTAAACCCATTTTATTAAAATGTGTTAAAAATGTTTTTTCCTCAAAACTAAGTTCTTCATTCAATATATTTTTGTTTCTACTAAAAAGCACGACTTTCTGTCTTTTTCACCATTCCAGTCCATTTGTGACCATGTTGGTGCTTACCGGTCACAGGGGTGGGGCTGCTACTGTACATGGTGAGCTCATCTGAGCCTCTCTGGAAAAACAAGAAAAAGGAAAAGAAATGTAACTTTCATATACATCCCAACTTCTGACGAATTCCAAAAATATTACTATTATAGGCAGAGTAACAAAAATACTAAACATTGATAAAGTATAATCACGGTCTGCCCTACTGAACGAAATATATAATACATTACTTTAATGGCTTTACATTTATCCAAATGAAATTACACCATCTGTCATTTAACACAAAGGATAACATACATCTTCATAGTATGTCATCTCGTTACATCACAGCCAACACTAATAAAAAAAAAAAAAAGGTATTAAATCTATCCACCCACCCCTATGCTAAAAATCTAAAATCCAATGACATCCAGTCAATTTGTGAACAAAATCATGTAGACCGAGTAAATGCAAGTGTGTTCTAATGTAAAAAGTAAATATACTTGCCTTCACACCAACTGCAACATCACTGTCAACGGAGAACAAACAGCAAATAATGTTACTTCAAATTCTCAAGGAAAAGCAACCTCTTAATTCAAAGTAAAGGGGAGACTGGTGCTGTTATCCTGGATGATGGTGTTGTAGCATTTCTCTTTTAACTGTGTAACAGTTTCACAAAGTAAGAGGAAAAATCATGCAATTAAAGAGGTTGAAATATTATCGTTTTTAAAACTCCTAGCTCTTAATGTACAGAGAAGCTCATGCAGCCATGGAACAGTTGTATAGGTTCAATACTGAATTAGTTCACCACACTGATGTTGGTTATTTTTAACCCGCATTTGCATCATTGCATGCTGTTGCCATAACTAATAAACTGGGACAATATCCTGTCACACATGCACATAGATATTGTTCATCACAAATACATCTCATACCATCATAGAGGCAAAGCTACTTCAAACACACCCAAAATACATCCGGACCAGTTCAATAACATCACAATTTAATCTGAAGATATTTGAAACCTCCCCACGCAAATGTAACAATTAAGCCATTCAGTGGCTTTTCAATTTATCTGACAAATAATGAACGCTGTTCAATTTGGATTACATTATTATGTTATTTTACACGTCTTTTCTGCGCATATGGTCATGTTTATGTTCCAGTCACCTTCTCTCATATAATAGCCAACGTTGTATACAATAATCCGGTGGAGGTCGCGTGTAGCATGCACGAGCTTCAGACAAAGGACCGAACCGACAGGTGCGCACGGCACTCCACGTCGGATAGGACACACGGGGCTAATACCGTGTTACACTACTGCTAGCAGACAATAATTGTCGCCATTTACTCATACGAACATTCATCATTCATATGTTCCTCTCAACGGTAACGTCAGCTACATTAATCCAAAGTTAGCTGCGACATTAATCCAA